TGAGCAGAAAGAAAACGAGAGAGAAAGAAGACGAAGACTAAAAGGAGGAGGAGGAGGTCAGCCCGGTGATTTCCTTGTCTGGCCTCTGCAGGCGTCCTGGTTTGCTTTCAGCTGTGGGAGGCAGCGCATTATTCATGCTGACCTCTGAGCTCTAGCGCTGATGTCATAGGAACCAGGCGTTCTCTCTCTCTCACACACACACACACACAATCAGCAGAGTGGATCTGCAGGTTGTTATCTATCTACCATCTGCAGGCCTCCTTATCAGCCCCAAACATCTTTCTCGGTAGAGGGTGGGGGAGCGGCAGAGCAGGCAGGCTGCCATTAAAAAACACACCACAACACATTCATCTAGCAGCACACTTTTTCACTCTCTTTCTTCCCACTATCTACCTCCACTCCCTCTCCAAACCCCCTCCCCTTATCACTGCACTTTTTTCCCGACCGCTCTTCCCTTTTCGCTTTTCTCTCTCCTTCTTTTAATTATCTAGACATCCACCCCTAGCCGATCGCAAACAAAAAAACCACCAACAGCAACGCTGGTAAAAACGGCACACAACGGCCACATGTAATTACAATGCGCCCTCCGTCCTCCATCTCTCCTTCCATCTGCCCAACCTCCTCTCCCCCCCCTCTCTTTTGCTTTCTGCGATATCAGCGGCAGCGATCGCCGCCAAGTTTTATCGCGTCTCCCATCTCAACCGCCAAAATATAAGCCCAGGGATTCAGCCTCAGTGGGCTGCCTGCCTGCTTCCTATCGCCCCATCAAGAAGAGCAGCCATATCAGGCTGAAAGATCACAAACCGTTGGGGAGGATGACGCACAAAGAGACACAGACAAATATCTATCTGCTACACAAACACCCCCTTCTCCTCCTCTACTAAGGGCCTCCAGAAAGCTCTGGACTTGGACTGCTGTTTGGCAAATAAAAATCCAAACCTAAAAGAGATATCCATGCTACACTGTCTTAATGGAGCACTCCAGTGTGTGTGTGTGTGTGTGTGTGAGGGTGCTGCCAGTGTTCAATTGTTGCTTTTCAAACCACACCTGAGTCTGCACAGTATTAGCTACTGTAGCTATGGGGGCGTTTCCAGGACTCTTGTTTTCCTAAATGGAGTGGTACGGCTGGGTGGAGAGGCAACCAAACATGAACGGGGAGGCAGGGGGGGCCTAAAATAAAATTTATTACTGAAATAAATAGTTGAATCACAAGATGCAGCCATGAGGTAATACAGCTAATAACAGTGTTTCCAGTTTTATTAACTGTAATAAATTATGTTTG